TCAGGAGCATCTCACTGGTCAACATGTGTTATACGACGATCTTTTTCTCATCCTATTCCAGTTAGTGAAAGTGGCAAATCAGTAGGTGTGGGTCTTTTTGATCACTTGGGCACTGGTGGTAGGGCTAGTCTCAGTGATGGTCAGGAAGAATCCAGTGATGTTGCTGTTAGCAAGAAGAAGAGGAGGAAGAAAAGGACGTTAGAAGAAATCCGGAAAGAACATGTAGGTAACCGTTCATTATTTTTGTAGGTAGTAGTCTACTTTTGTTTATAAAAATTGTTGCGGTTATCATAATATGTTGTAGATTTCAAAAATGTTGGTCTGGGAATTTATGGTTTTATCATAAAGTTAGAAATACACTGTGCGTCTCTATAGAAGAGTCACATTTTTTTAATTGTTTTTCTGGAGAGTCTTTTTGCGTAATACTTGTAATAATTCAGTATAGGTCGCCTGTGTCCGGGAACTGGTAGAGTGCTTCTGTGACAAATGCTTTTTTTAAATATGTTTGATTTGGAGAAATGTTATGTCAGTTTTCGCTAATGAAATTGTTTGATCTGCCTAAATAAAGACAGCGAAAGATATGCTTCACAAATACATTTCGAAAAAAATTGTAGACTTCTTTAAAGTTAAATTAATGCTGAGCGTACGTTTTTGTTTTATCTTGAACTTACTGATCTTCAGGCTTTAAAAGAAGTAACTCGAGTTAGGAAAGCCGCAGAAAGAATGCAGAAAAAGGTTATCTTGTTATTTTGATTAATGATACCTAGATTATTCTTTGGAATTTTTTAGCCATTTGATGTAGAAAATAAACAATACAATCCCAAGATTTTTATTCAAAACTACTATCGTATTATTATTTGCCTTCTGTACTTGTTAGCCTTATTTCAATAACCATACAACATTTCAGAAAGAGGCAGAGCTGGCTAGACAAATTTCGAAGTTCCAGAGGGAGGTAAGCTCTTCAAAAAAGTCAAAATGCGAGCAGAATTTATTTTGTTTTGTGGACTCTGGTATCATTTCCACCTTTGGTGATTTTTGACTTGTTAAATTTTTAGAAATTTTCTGTGTTTCAAAGAAGGAGGTGGTGCCCAAAAAGAGTGCATTTAAAATGAGAAAAAAAAGAATCTTTGGTTGTGAAGGAATGAAAATTAATATTGTTGGTTCTTTTCAACAAGAATTCAAAGTTGAAACCTAGTGTTCAATTTAAGGACAGTTCCACGTTTCAATTTCTTTATTGCTCTTGATTTTCTTTTCTGGGACGGAAATGTAGACAGATTTTGTTTCTTTCTCGCGTAAACGTTAAATTTAAGTTTCCTGGCTAATGTGCCGTGACTTCATTTTTTCGTTTAGAAGGTTCGTTGCGTTGCTCAAATTCATTCACTTTCTTTATTTATTCCTAGATGCTTCGCATTTACTTTGCGCCGAACTGCCTCTAAGTATTTGGTCAGATAGGTTTTGAATGATGTTTAGTTTTAAAGAATTGCGTTTTTTTCGTTATTGGAACTACTTGATTATTTAGTTCAGTTAAAGTTCCCAAATTTCCTCTCGTGGTAAATTTTTTATTATGACTGATGCTTCTACTACTTAAATGAAGGCTTTAGCATACAAAATTTTGTCCTTATAAAAAAATTATATTTTATGACGGATTTAAGGCCACCATTTTGTTTTTTTAAAAAATAGACTTTTCTAGAGATTAAAAGCAGCAGATTTGTAATTATTTTTGGGAAATTGCAGTGTTTGGAACAAACATGTTCAATTATCATCTTTAAAATTTGCCTTCATAATCATAAAATTGCATTTCCACTTGCGGAATCCTTTCTGGTAAATAATTCAAAGGAAGATTAGAAATAAGTCCCTCTTTCAGCTAGTCACTTTTTATTTTTAAAATTGTTATTCTCAATGGGACAATTTTACAGAAGGTTTTGAGGCAACAGTAAAGCAGATCTTTGGTGATAGGAAAATTTCTGATCAACTAATTATCGAACAAAGTCGTCAAATGAAAATCTGTTGGAAAAGACGTTTTTTAGAGGCAAATATTTGTGATGGAACGCTTGTCCGTGAAGAAAAATTAGTGAGCATTTTAGTTATTCGTAATTACCCCGTATCTGATACTAGCCGTTATGTTAAATTGGAGTATTTAGTTTGCATTGGGTTCCCATATCAGAATCTGATTACAGGTCTATGAAAAATGTTGCATGATCTTTCTTACCTCAGATGTCTTTAAACAGCTTTGTAAATCTGGTTCATTTTGCGACCATATTAGAGCAGCATCTGAATCATTCCCATTTCCATCACCCCGTATTACGTGCGTGGTGTACGGCATTCATCCCGACGCTCGAGTACGTGCAAATTTTTGCTCATTTTGAGAGTCGTTTAAAACTTAGGCCATCAAATCTTTTCCGCTCCTGTTTTATGCCAGTTAATAATGAAAATGCTGATTCAGGCGACGAATATGATACTTGATGCTTACGAAAGGCATAGAACACAATTACGATTTGTAAACTCAATTTATGAGGTGGCTAGTGTTGTAGCCCGTATGCACCGAGCAATAGCAAAGATGGCACTTCAGGTTGATGAGAGATCAAAGCTTGTATTTGAAACTGAAAAAGGAGTAAAAGAGGTACCGATTTCGACCTTCAATATTTTAACTACTGATCTCAACCTTTTCGTTCTGAACAGTATAGAGTTCTGCACAAATTACATTAAATCACTCACTGAAGGCTTGGCTTTTAACTTTGTCATTTAAATTTATAAAATATATTTTTAAAATGACTACTGTTGGGGTTTTCCAACAGCATGTTTAATCTAATACGGTATGTTCTGAAAATTGTAGACCTCCTAATGCGTTGTATTTTTGTTTGAAAAAGTATAAGTAGTAATATTTTATTTAGACCAAGACGAGATCGTGGTAATTCAAGCATTTCAAATTAAACTTTGTGAAATTAATGAAATTTTTTAGCATTTTAACTTTTTTAAAAAGCAAAAAGTGTCGTTCTCAAATTAATAAAAGCAATGAAACTGCATTGTTGAAAAATTAAACGCATGGTTAGAGAGTATTATATATCACGTAATCCAGCATTTCTAAAATTTCACGATTGTAATGAAGCAGCCCTAGCTGAAAATACTTTAAAAGTTAAGGGGATAAGAATAAGCTCGTTACTTTTAACTACAGAGGCCTTACTGAATTTCGTAATTAAAAATTTTTTCTTGCAGTTCGTCAATCTTTCCGGTCATCTCAGGAATGGGGAGGGAAACTACTTTGTTTTAATTGAAAAGTCATGCGGCATCGAGAGTTGAAAGTATTATAAGATTTTCGTAATTATTAACATTGCTTTAAATGATTAAAACAGCTGTAACAACTTCAAAGCAGCCGAGTTAGATGAAAAAGGGGTATGAGTTTTTGTCAATGATCCAAACGAACTGGCCGAATTCACACAAAGTTTTTTAAAACTAGTCAGTGAGACCGTCTAAGGCTCTGAAAACCAAACATTTTGAAGGCCTGCTTTCAGGAAGTTACTACCATTGCTATTCTTCGAAAGCTGTGTGGTTATTATTGTTACAACTGTTACAGTTCGAAGTAGCCTTAATTACCACTTTAGGGTCCTCTCTTAATAACGGACTGGTGGTCCAAGATGCTGAAGCATATTTCCAGGTTAAGCGGTGACCAGCAGCGAGCGATTGTAGGGATGTTCCCCAATCCATTTGCACTCTCTGAAAGGTAGCCCCTCTTTAATCATTTGACTTTCTTCCCTCAAAGATCGTGCAAAGTCAGTAACCTTTCAGCAACTGAATTAAGGTTGCTAGCGATGGAAATGACTCAAGCTGTGGACCTTCTCGCTGATATTAGGACAGAAGAAGGACGACGTGTTGGCCCAGCGATCGCACGGAAGTTGTTTTTCACCTTAACTAGTCTCGACGGCATCGAAGCAATTGATGAATGAACCAGCAGAACTCAGCCTACCATCGGATGAGATCGTGGTGAAACCTTTATTTCGCACTTTGAAACTTCCTTGACAAGTCAATGACTCAAACATGACGGTGTATTGCTGCCACCAAATAAGAAACTTCTGACTTAGCGGCAGAACGACGTCCTGTCTTTCATTCACAAACAGAAAAAAAAGATTTTGAGCAAACATTTACTGGTAATTACATCACTTCAAATATACAATCAGTAAGTAGCAAGACTGTACAAATAGCCAACTGTACAAGAAAGTTTGAAGATAGCAACGAAACAGGAATCAGTTATGACTTCAAAGTGCACAGTAGAACTTGAAATGCTAAAGCGCAAGCAGCCGTATGTTAGACCCTCTAAGTAGGAAGGACCAGCTTCTTACACTAGTTTTTACATTGTTCACTGGGAGATTTCCACTGAAACATGAAGAGGCAAGAGAAAACTTACAAAAGATTAGGTGATCAGGCTTCTGGTAGCATTTGTAAGGTCAGGTAAACTTATTAAAAGAATACAGCAACTAACTTAAATTGACTAATTGAGACCCGTTGAGGGCACAGTTAGAAACACAATTCGGATAATCTGGACTCGAGGCTATAGCACTAGCATCTGTACTAAGGTCGTGCAGATAATCAAATTCAGCAAGTGCACTACGTTCTTTCTGCCCAAAGTGCCTAAAGTTGATGTCGCGAATAGTTCGTCTGGGAGGGATAAATCGAACGACGTCACCACGGCGTCGTAACTGTTTGCAAATCAATTCCTGGGCAGCAGATTCGTCATCTGATGACCATATATTACCATCATTCTGGAAAAGACAGGAAATAACCTGACGTGAAGAACAATACAAGGAAATAATCACAAAAGAAGATGGTGCTCGCTAAATACTTCAAAGCACCCACATGATCCAAGAGTAGATGTTTCTTACTCATTAACTGCATGAATTTCCTTGTATTTCAATAGCTAAAAACATTGAAAGCAAACATAAATATATAATAGAAATTGAGAAACGAATTTAAGTTGAATGAACAACTATTACTTATTCCAGGTTCAACCATTCAGCCGCCAATATTAAAACAGAAGTTCACACCGCCACCATCTGAGCGGATACCACTTAAAAAATCAGTTGAAAAATAAAGAAGTGAATTACGCGAGGTCATTCCATCAGAAATGAACACGACCCCAACGCAGCAAAAGAAAATTGGAAAATGCTTTGAGGAGCCATTAACTAGGGAATTTAATACTACCTTAAAGTCGAGCTGAGGAAATAAGCAAATTAATGCAACAGAGTCAAAAGAGCACTACACCTTTAGAAGAATACAACTATATACTTTAAAAAGTTACTTCCAAAGCTAGCTTTTGTTAATATTAGGGACGTTAAAGAACTCAAACTTGAAGCGAAGACTCAAGAGACTTTTTTCCCCTCCCTAAGGATCAAGTTAAAGCCAAATTATTTCTCACTCTTAGAAATGCCCAGGATTTTCAAATTTAACAACATCCCCAGAAACGCATTGATGTTTCCCACTTACGATAACCATTAAAATCTAGGATAGGCAGGACCTTCAGAAAACGGGCAGTGAAAATAAAGTTTCGAGAAAAATAAAGTGACGTGACGAAATAAAAAAGAGGTTTGATAAAACAATATATAATAGCAGTATATCGACTGGCGACCAAATAACCAATTTTTTTTTTACATTTCGAAAGCAAAATAAACTAAGAAAGTCTAGTTTTTTGTAAATCCTGCACCACTTGATCTAAAAAAGAAGGATGAATCAGGGTTTAGGTCAGAAAAACCCAAGTAAAACAAAAAAATTACGAGACAACAAGTAACCAATCAAACGCCTAGTTATGAAAGCTCGTATGTCTAGTGAAATTAAAACTACAAAAGACTGAAAAAAAAGTACTTTTAGCACATGTCTGGCGGATTCCAATAGCTAAAACATTGAAACCAAAAATAAAAGCCTTACAATATTTTTGGTTCAATGCCGTAGCGTCTTAACAGTTTTCTACCCCACTGTTAAACATAATGTTTTCTTAACTTCAAAAGTTGGGTAGACGTCAAAAACCTACAAAGAAAATAAAATTGTTTCGTTCTCAGTTAAAACTGTTTTCAGTGACTCTACCTCCTGAATTTGACAAGAAATACATGACAAAAAAATATTTTTAGCAAATTCACACAAAAATAAAAGCTTAAAAATTAAAATTTTTGATTATTCATCCAGAAGGTAAAAGGGATGCATAGCTTACCAGTTTTTCACTATAGTTTTCTGACGTTCCGTGTCTAGGTTCAACAGTTGGAGATGAGGCAACTTGGGAGGGAGCACCTTCAATAGGCGCATCTTCAGTCTGCAAGGCTGCAACAAGCGTTGGTAATTCGCTGTCCGAGTATGATCGTCTCACTGAGCTTCTCGGATCATTTTCGAACTCTTCATTGCAGATAACATCCTCATGAGTGCACGTGTCAGGTTTCACAATCTGAAATAAATCCGCCATGAAACAGCAAACCTATCATCTCTGATTAAAAACTACCCTTAGAGACAAATGGTTGCTTACTTCAACTAAAGGCGACGATGACCTAGGTGTTTCAACCACGCTAGAAGTGTCATAGTGAGTGACGCGAAAGTTTCGAACTTCATCTGGAGCATCGCTAAACTGCGGATTGAGGTCCACGCTGAAGAGGTCGGCATTCGACTGGGTAAGCGCACATAAAGCTTCGCCTGCACCAACAGCGCCAGATGCTCCCGCAGCTTCAAAGGAATCAAAACGTTCACGTTCAGCCTCATTCTTCTTTAAAGCAGCTATTTCTTCTCGCAGCTGACTCTGAAACTTTTAGCGGTCTTTGAAGTTAAACAAGTTTCTAAACTGTCAAAGCAAACTGCTAAACACATACTATAACAATTTCTGAGTCCCGAAGACGTCGCTTGAGATTTTGATTTTTGTGACGTTCACAGTCAATAGTCCTCTGCATCAAAGTTAATGAACGACTAATCTTCTTCGCTTCTCGGCGGAGCAGTTCAGCTTCGTTCTTGAAAAACTCTTTCTTATAACTACGCAAAAAAAAAATGAAAACTTGAAAACATTTTATTCTTGCAAAAAAAAAAAAAATATATTAGAGATAAAAATTCTGCTAACCTGAGCACTAATAATCTGTTCTCTATACCGGTACCGATCATCTTTCAGACGACGCTTTAACTTCCTAATTTCAGCCTCATAACGTTGGAACTAAAAAGTAATGGATAAAAAAGATAAAAAAATGAAAGCAAAGATTAAGAAAGGCACAATACCTATTAGATTTCGTAATAGTAAACATAATAAAAAAGTAAAAACCAGACAACTAGATTGTTAGTGCCAAAATTCCGGAACTCAGCCATCACAAAGAGAGGAAATAACAGACTAGTGTAAGTATAAAAACTTCCGGTACTTTCAAATTAAGAATATTTACGCTTTCTTTGCAAAAAATAATTGGCAAGAGAACTTAAAATGCATTCACCAAAAGCCACCTAATCGTTCGGTAAAAAACACTGACTCTTAATTCAAGGTTTTAAAGCTCTGAGAGGCGGAAGTTTCTTAAGGAGCTTTTAATACCGAAAGCTTTTGAATAGCCTTACTTTTTTTCGGAGATTTTAAACGCTTTAAAGAATAAAGAGAGTAGTGATCACAAAGAAGTGGCCACTGCAAAAGAGGATTCCTCGATTTCAGCTAAACCATTTTTAGTAAGCTTATTTTATCTCATGCTAGTCCGTTTTTATACAGGAAGTACAAGCTATCCCAAAAAAAAGGTTTTAATGCCTAATGATTACTAGAAACAACACGATAATGAAATTCAGCTGTTCTACACTACCCTATAAAGCAACTCCCCTTCTAAGAAGTGGCCTTTCAGTTCATTACAGTACCTTCCCAACAGATCTCTAAATTTACTGATTTGCAACTAGGTTTAGCCTAGAACCACACTTAGCATCCATCAGAAGTTACCCAGCAGCTGAAGTGCAAAAATAGTCTTTCCTTATGCCCGATCACAGTATTTTAAGCAGCTAGAAGCTTCGTAACTTCAAAAATATCAGATAATGTTGAAAAAAAGTCACCCAAAAGCTTTGAACTTTAGAAAAACAAATGTCAAACATCTATCCCTCCTCATAAATGAAAAACCTAAATCTTTCAAATTCACGCTGATAAAACCTCTTCGATTTTCCTCAACTTTACAATACAATAAAAAAGATATTTGTAAATAGAAACACAACGTCGAAGAAAAACTCGCCAAGAAAAACTTTACCTCCTGAACAGCATAGTCATTATCGTAATCAGAATCTTGATGAGAACACAGAAGTCCTTGAGATGCGTTGGTAGGGCTTGGTTCACAGCTACCGTACTCCGACGTCTTTACACTAGCATCAACTTCTTTGGCCTCACCCAGCCGCATAATCCTAAAAGCGTAGGAAACCACACTTATCAAGTAATCATAAAATCAAGTCCTTCACAAGTAAAAACAAAGATGAAACTGTCATAAACATTAAAAAGGTCAGCGATAAAATATAACGCAAACATGCGTAGAACTAACACGTTTGAATTTTGGCTGACGCATACAAATCGTTGTTCTTCTTTCACGACAGGTCTAAATGGTGGTATCGTTACTCCACCTGGGCAAGATCTTGTCGATTTCGTTTTTTTTGGGGCTGTTACTACTGAATAAGGAGCAGAAGGCCGACTCCATGACGTCCCACCAATATAGATAGCATATTTAGATGAGCGACATGTCGGTACCGGAGAGGTACGAAGAGAAAATCGCATTTCATCATTCCGTTTCTTAAAAAATTGTTTTGTCCCCACGAAAGTAAAAGAGTGTTCGAATACAGACTCGAAAAGAGCAAACTGAATGCTCCCAAAAATTAATTGTTGAAAGGAAACGGAAGTGAACTAACCAAATTAGAATCACTGATGTCACTATCCTTGGATTTTTTGAATTTGAAAATTTTGATTAAAGAAGAAGTCATGGGCATCTGACAATTAACTGCTGCAACAGTAGCAATGATAGGCGTGAAAAACAAAGGAAAAAATCATATGTTAAAATCCTCTTCGGAAGACGTAAAAAACGAGAGAGCAAAACTCAATCTAAGTTGAAACTATATAAGACTATCGAGGAACAAAAAGTCACGCTAGCTGCACACAAGCAATAGATTTTTCTAGATTTTGAAAAGATAAAAAAAAGAAAAAATTGTTATAACATTTATACTTTCACCATTTTCTAAAATTAGGTTTCCGAATACACTGAAAATTACATACAGCATACGTTCACTTAGAAAATTTCTGATTATAATAAAAATAGGTTGTGAACAATTTAGATAGCTAAGAAAATCGGTTATGAAATAATTATAGTGAAAGGAGTTATGAAAGAAAATTACACTAGAAGTACGTTGTTCAGTAAATGCACCAACAAATGAGCTCCACAAACCACTACCAAATTCTTCAATACAATGAAAACACTACTGAACTAAAGATAGAATTAAGTGTTTTGCTACTGATTCGATTGTTTAAATGCATACGAACAGCAAAAACCCAGTTATACACAACAACAGTTTTTGAGCAAGCAGTAAATATGAACCATATATTAGTTAACTAAAAGAAAAAAGTTGAGAATAAAGTGGAAATTTAAAAACCTTATTTCATGATCCTTGCCATAAAAAAGATAAAATTCTCTTATGTGTGCGAGATTTTTTTAAATGTCACTGAGTTAGAGCAACTAAAGAACAAAGCATCATTAAATATTAGTGAAGAAATCTTTGCAAACCCACAAGTTTTCGTTTGCTGACGAATCACACGGGGAATATCAGGATTCAAAATAAGACAAATTTTGATGAAAAAAAAAAAATCGATGTATAACAAGATTCGTTTAACTTATGCAAGAAAAATAAAACATGTAACAAGAACAAGAAAAAAAATCAAGAAAACTTAAAAAATACAGTGATAAACATCACATAAAACTGCTGCAAAATGTCTCCAAGTCAGAACAAATCAAGAATCTGATATGCTTAAACGTATTAACATACAGCGTTCAGCTACCCGACTGAGCTTACCATTTCTTTAGATCACCAAGTCTCAGAAAAGACATGGAAAGGTACCGAAAGCATTGCCAACATGAAGAAACAAGCAATCATCTACAGATAGACAACACTTAAGACTGTTTATAGGCGTCTAACATATATAACAAATGCCACGGATCGGTAAAATGACCACGCCAAACAATAAATGCTCGAAATAGCAATATGGAGGATAGAGAAGGGCTCTCTCAATTGGCACATTGCCAGCATTCGTTTTTGAATTTCGCATTCCTTTTGTTTTTCCGTCTACACTCAACGAAGGATAATATTCGGAAAACTTCAAAGGTCCCTTACAATGAACTCGGATATGGCAAAAGACGATGATCGAGAGGTCAGTATGGTGTCATTGTCGTCGGTAGCATCGAATACCGATGATACCGAAAATGATGAAAAAGGTGTTTGTCCAGGGTTATCTGTATGTGATCAGCAATCTGGTTCCACTGATAACCTGGTAAAAATTGAATTTGTCAATTCTACGTACATCATTTATGATCCAGCAGGTATCGACGTTACTTCGTATCAATCCTTTCTTGTTCGTATTATGTATTTTTTTGTTTGTCCGTTATAGCCTATTCCAACGTTTCTTATAAGCATTAAATTTTGCAATAGATTTTGTGTGAACGTACAACGATGCTATGTATTCCTTTGTGCCGTCTCCATGAGGTTCTTTTAGATAATCTTATCATTGCCATATTTTTCTTTTTGAAAACAACTTGAACTTTGATTGCAATAAATATAATAACTACTATCACTTACAGAAAATGAAAGGATTAAAAAGGAGTACCATATTGTGGCAGATGCAGCCGGCACAAAGCCGGATAGTCCCTGCAACGTAGTGGATTCTGGTCCACCGTTTGTTCTTTTACCAGAACAGGCTATATTATTAAAAGAATTCGGTTTGATTTTTTTTT